AATAAGACCCAGTGTTTGCCACATGTTCTCACTCATAAGTGGGTGTTAAACCATGAGAACACATGGACACAGGGAGGAGAATATCACACACCGGGGCCTAGGGGGTGGGTGCTAGGGGAGGAATAGCAGGGTGTGGGGGGATTGGGAAGGGATAGAATTAGAAGAAATACCTAATGTAGATGACAGGGCAATGGATGAAGCAAACCACCACCATGGCACGTGCCTACCTATGTAACAAACCTGCATGATCTGCACATGTGCCCCAGGACTTAAAGTATAATAAATAATTTTTCCCCATTTATTTATTTTATTGCATTTTAGGTTTTGGGGTACATGTGAAGAACATGCAAGATTGTTGCATAGGTACACACATGGCAGTGTGATTTGCTGCCTTCCTCCCCATCACCTACATCTGACATCTCTCCCCTTGCTATCTCTCCCCAGCTCCCCTCCCCCCACCGTCCCTCCCCTATTTCCCCCCAACTGACCCCAGTGTGTAGCGCTCCCCTCCCTGTGTCCATGTAGCGTTCGATGAATCAGCAGGGTAACTGTAGTTAACAATAATTGATTTCACATTTCAAAATAGCTAGAAGAGAATAATTTGAATGTTCTTAGCATAAAGAAAAGATAAATGAGGTAATATCTATCCTCAATTACCCTTATTTTATCTCTACACATTATATTAATATATCAAATTATCACATCTATATGATTTGGATTTGTGCTCCTACCCAAATCTCATGTGGAATAATAATCCCCAGTGTTGGGGGAGGAGCCTTGTGGGAGGTGATTGGATCATGGGGGTGGATTTTCCCCTTGCTGTTCTTCTGGCAATGCATTCTCATGAGATCTGGTTGTTTAAGAGTGTGTAGCACCTCCCCCTTTGCTACCTCCCTGTTTCACTGGCCATGTAAGATGTACCTGCTTTCCCTTAGCCTTCCACCATGATTGTAAGTTTCCTGAGGCCTCCCCAGCCATGCTTCCTGTACAGCCTGTGGAACTGAGTCAAATTAAACATCTTTTCTTTATAAATTGCCCAGTCTCAGGTAGTTCTTTATAGGAATGCAAGGACAGAATAATACACATGTACCCTGAAAATATGTACATCTACTATGTATCAAAAAAAGAAAAGGCAACTACAAGCCAATATTTCTCATGACTACAGTTGCAAAAATTCTTAACACAATTTCAGCAAATATTAATAGAATCCAACAATCTATGGGAATGAAATATACATTCTAAACAAGCTGTGTGTGTCCCAGGAATAGAAATGTGGTTTTACATTTGAAAAGCATTTTTCATTAATATTCCAAAAATGTATAATGAACTCATAGGTGAAGAAAACAATTGACAAAATCCAACATCCATTCCTGATAAAATGTCTCTCAGCAAAATGTGAATAGACAGTAACTCCCCCAACCAGGTAAAGGGCAATTTCCTAAAAGTAATATAACATTAAATGAGAGGCTGAATGCTTTCCATACAATATCAGAAAAAAAAGGATGACTAACCACTCTTCACCACTTCTGTTCAAAGTGCAATAAGCAATAAAGTAAGAAAATGAAATAAAATTAACATTATAAGAAAGGAAGAAGTAAAAATGTCTTTCTCAGGCGATGACATGTAAAAAATCCTAAGGAATCTACAAAATGCTACTAGACGTAGTGATAAGTTGGGAAGTTTTCAGGACATAATATTGATCTAAAATAATAAACTGTAATTCTATATTCTAGCAATGAATTCTATATACTGATTAATGAACCAACAATGTAGTAGAAATTGAAGTAAAAAATACATTAATAAATTGATAAAATATTTTCTTTTATTTTTCCCCCATTTATTTTATTGCATTTTAGGTTTTGGGGTACATTTGAAGAACAAGCAAAATAGTTGCATAGGTACACACGTGGCAGTGTGATTTGCTGCCTTCCTCCCCATCACCTACATCTGGCATTTCTCCCCTTGCTATCTCTCCCCAGCTCCCCAACCCCCACCGTCCCTCCCCTAT